GTCCGGGTGGGCATTTTGTCGGTCAGTTTGGTTGGGCTGTTTGTCGGGGCGGTCTGGTGCGTCCACGAGGTCGTGCCGCGTTCGCCGGGCGATTCGCGGTCCTAGCGGGTTCGCAGTAGCATTATGCGGCGAGGGGGGGGTGGGGGGACATGGCGGCGCGGTGGGGGAGGGAGAGGAGGGGGGGGAAATTTGCAGGAGGAGGAGGAGGAATAATATGAGGAGGAGGAAGAGGGCGAGGGGACACGGTGGCGGGCACCCCCGCCTTCTTCTTGCTTGGTCCAGCCCTTCTGGGGGGGCGTCGTTCCCATAGGGAGCTCCACCGCAGATTTCGGCGGCACGGTCCACATGGCGGCGCCGCGCCATGTGGGCGCAGACTTGACACGGTCCGTGGCATCACATGGAGTTCGAGGGGGGGCCCAGCGGCAGGGCCCACATGGCGGCGCCGCCTTGTTTAAGCGCACGCATCATCACGGTTCGTGGCCCCGCAGGGAGTTCCACCGAAGACTCCAGTGGCAAGGTCCACATGGCGGCGCCGCTCCAGTTGGGCGTGCACTTCACACGCGGAAGTGGCGTTGCGACGCGCGGAGGTGGCATTGCCACCCCGCCTCCGCCGGAAACAATGTTAACAAATCGTGCGGCCAACAGCTCCGCTGACGGTGTTAACAAATCGTGTAGCGCCCAGTCTGTTCCAGACTAACAAATTCTTGACGCTTCGCGTATCCCCAACAGCCCATGCAGTAACGATGCCCAGGCGAATGGGGGTGATCAGGGAAGTGGGGGGCATACAGAATAACAAAAGGCTGGGGAACCCGTCTTACCCAAGACGGCGAGGATGGAGGATGAATCGGAGGACGATGAGGAGGAGGAACTCAAGGAGGAAAAGGGGGAGCGGGAGGAGGGTAGAGGGAGGAAGAGCAATAGGCGGATGAGGAGGAGGAGGAGGAGGAGCAGGAGCAGGACGAGAATGAAAAGGAGGACGAGGAGAAGGGCGAGCAGAATGGCCAGAGGCCTCTTGGATGCCTCTCGGAGTCTCTTCGGGGGTCTCTTGGGGGCGTCCTGAAGGCCTCTTAGGGCGTCTTGGGAGCGTCTCGGCGGTCCCGGAGGCCTCTTGGGGCGTCTTGGGTGCCCCGGGGAGCCTCTCGGGGACCTCTTGGGGCCATGTTGGGGCCATCTTGGGGCCATCTTGGGGCCATCTTGGCGCCTTTTGGGGCCTCCTTGGCGCTTCTTAGGGCCATCTTGGAGGCGATCGATCAAAGAAGAGAGTGGGGTTAATTAGGCCTGCCCCTCTAGATCCTCTAAAATCGCCTCTTGGGCTCATCTCGAGGCGCTCTTGGAGCGCTCTTGGGCGCTCTTGGGGCCGTCTTGAGGCCATCTTGGGCCCCTCTTGGGGCTATCTTGGGCCCTCTTGGAGCCATCTTGAGGCCTCGGAAGGCCATCGGAAGCGAAAGGGTGAGAAAGCAACACGCATTGATGTTCCTTCGGTTTTTGAAGGATTTGGGCCTCTTGGAGGCCTCCTGGGGGACCTAGCTGGCCTCTCGGAGCCGTCCTGGGGCGGTTTTCGGGCCTACTGGAGCATCTTCGGAGCCGTCTTGAGGCATCTGAGGCTAGCTTCTTGAGCAATCTTGGAGCTCATATTGGGCTCCCCGAGGCGCTCTTGGAGCCATCTTGGGCCATCTTGGACGCTCCAACTACCAGCGAAACCTCCCGTCCAGGTCCAGTGGAGGGGGTAGGGGGAGGGGTAAACCCCTCCCCCAAGGGGAAGAAAGGGGGTTGGAAGAGGAAACTCCCCAAACCACCTACGCCCAGAGGGCTGGTGGGACTGCGCGGCGCCCAGGTTGTTACCACATCGTGCGGCGCCCAGGTGTTCGCACATCGTTTCGCGCCCAGGGTGTTAACAAATCGTGCCGCCAAAAACCCCGCAGACGGTGTTAACAAATCCTCTGGCCAAGAACACCGCAGACGGTCTTCACAAATCGTGCGCCGCCCCGCATGCGGTCTTCACAAATCGTGCGGCTACAAACCCAGCGCGCGGTTCGTGGACCCACAGGGGGGTCCACCGAAGGCCCCAGTAGCATCGTCCACATGGCGGCGCCACGTCACATGGACGCACCCCTCACACGGTCCGCGGCCCCACATGGAGCCCCCAGTTGTATATGGTTGGGTTTTTCGCCAGGCTACATTGTTTTTTTTTTTTTGGTTTGGTGGCTGGGCGTTTCTTATCCGCGTTGTTGGGTTAGCCTGGTGGTAAGGAGCCCAGGGAAACAATTGTTAGGAACAGTTGAGGTTCCGCAGTGTTGTGGCGGATGATGAAGGCAACCTGCGGCATGACATTCGAGACATCAGAACCGCGATTCAATTGTCCAGGAAACTCGTTTTGGACAGTTGCGTTTTCACATCAGTTTTTTTTTGTTGCTGACATGTGGTAGACGCATGGTTTCGGACAGTTGAGGTTTGATGAAATGTCATTGGGTGCATTGGTGCACATGCTAATTTGCACACTGGCCCCGCATTGTCCCAGGTGTTGTGCTTGATAAAGGGGGGCATCGTGGCGCGTCCTCGCGTGGCCCTGCGTTCGTTTTCCGTCATTTTGAGGCCGTTCGGGGCCGTCATATGGGCCCCGTTGAGGACCTCGTTGGAAGTTTTTTGGGGCGCTCGGAGCAATCTCGCGGCCCATCCGAAAATGCGGAAAACAAACGCGACAGATTTTTCAAACGTGGACACAAACGATGAAACATGCATGGCGTCGGCTTCTGTGGACCAGCGCGGGGGCCGCCCTTGCGGAGCTCTTGGGCCGCCTGGGCGGCCGCGGGTTGAGTGCTTTTCCTATTCGCGGACTCCTTTCGAGACCGCCTGTGGGCGTCGTTTGATAATCTATGATGATTTATGGGCCGTCTCGGGGCCCTCTCCGACAATCGGGCGGTCTTCTGAGGGGTCGTTGGCCGTCTCGGAGTGGTCTTTGGGGACCTCGAAGGCCGCCCTGGGGCGCCAGGGAGCCCGAAAGGTGCGGACCTCCACATCTTGAATATAATCAAGGATAGATCAATAGTATTTGTCTTTCGGTGCTGTGGTGGGGGCCCTCGGATATCCTTGCGCGCGTTTGCGCCGCCTCGTGCGTCCTTCGTGGGTCTTGTCGGTGCGGAATCAAAGGATTAGCTGGTCGCGGCGCGCCTTCTGGGATCCCCAAGGGGCCGTCGCGATGTCTTCCTGCGCCGCCTCGGGGCCACGCGCGGCCGTCTCGGGGCCCGCTTTGGAACTTGTCGGGCAGCGTAGGGCCAACATTGGATTGGAACGCGCGGGGGTTGAAACGATCAAACAGATGGTTGTTGAGACGGGGCGGCTGTTGTGTCACTTATGCACGGCCGTGGCCTCGATGACACTAACCAGACGCATTGCGCGCGCCAAACGGGGTGCGATTGCATGTCCTGTCGAACTGCAAGTACGTCATACGCCTTAGAGAACGTTGGAAATAATCCCAAATGGAAGCGCGAAGCGTTTTCACGCGCCTCTGCGTGCGAAAGCATGGTGGCGGCCTTCCTTTCCTTCCCCTCCGACCCCCTTCCCCCCCTCGCCGCGCTCTACTCTGCGTCCCCCCGCTGCGCCTCCGGCCCCCGCCCCGCCAAACCCTCCGCTCCTGCCCCCCCCCGCCGCCCCCGGCGCCCCCCCCCCTCTGTTGCAATTTTGGATCCGACCATTCTGGCTCAAGTATTCTGGCTCCACAGAACCCTCTGCGTCGACGTCGTCTCCGCGGTGGGTCGACGCCCAGTGCGCAGGCTGCGCTGGCGCGCGCTGTCGGCCCTTCGGAACGCGCGCAGGCCCGCGGAGGCGCGCTCCCGCCTTTGCGGCGTGCGCGCGTGCGCGCGCGAGCGGGCTTTCAATCCCTTCGTTGTGCGTCGCGTCTTGCGCTAATCTGCGCGGTGCGGACGTGCGCGGTCGACTGCGCCGCTTCTTGCGCCGTGCGGCGACGAGAGGATGTGTTTTTTTTGTTGTCGCCGCCGTTCGAGGCGCCCATCAATTCCTGGCCGCTGCTCTTGAGTTCTGACCGTTCCCAGCGAGGGTGCCCAGCCTCATAGCTGACTGTTGGCGGTCGCGCTTCGACGCGCGATGCGTTTTTAGCGCGCCCTGAAAACCAGCGCCCGTTGCAATCCGATTCCATACCTCGCTGTTTTTTTTTCCAGCTTGGGCTTGCGTTCGCGCCTTGCCGTGCGCGGGCGGCCCTACTCGCGTGATCGCGTCGCTTTGGATGCGCGGCGCGGTTTTCATTATGGTTTTGCGACCCCAAGAACTTTCAGAAGTGCGCCTGGCGACCTGCAAATTTGCACAGCCAGTTGCCATCGCGCCGCGACTTCTGGCGATGCCATCGCCCTCGAACGTGCGCGCGCGCACGTGCGAGCCACTGGTTGTGGGTTAGCGCGCGCAGGCACGCGCATCGCGTTGGCTTGTGCAGTTTGCGTTCATCATGCGGTTGCGCGCTGTAGTGCCGCGTGGGGTTCGCGCGTGGTTGCGCGACCTCCAATGTGTCATTGAACGTAATGGCGCCTTTGATGTCGCTGTCGCAATGATACTTGCTCCAAGGTGTTTGTTCGATGTAGCACCGCTGCCGCTGTCTTTGGCGCAGCGGTTCCTCATCGCAACGTCGCGATTGGCAGGCAATTCGGTCCGCGCCCTTTCGCGCCAAACGCTGTGATCGTGGTGCCCATCGGGGCTTCAGTCTGCAGCGAGGAGCATCGCGCGGGCGCTCGCGTTTTCGCGTTCAGTCAGCCGCGATTGGTCCAACGCTATACCGAGCATTTTGCGATTAAACGTTTAATTTTTTGAATTGCGTTTTGTCGTCAAAAGCTTCGCCAGTAGAATGGCACCACTGATATGGGAAGAGGGGGGGGGGGAAGAAGACGACAACCCCGAAAATATGGAGAACCATGGGGCATCCTGGGACTCGTGCGTGTGTTTTTGTGTGTCCCTGGCCCCCTTCGAGATTGCTGCTCCGGCGTGGCGCCCCGCAGGAGCGCGTGTCCCTCGCCGTGGCGCAGGCCTCGAAGCCCGCCCTCGACGTGCAGGCCGCGCGCCTCGGCAGGCTGGGCGTCCACCGGTTCGGCGGCCTCCTCGGCACCGAGGACCCGCAGGGGGCCTGTGCTCCCCCCCGCCCCCCCTTGAGGAATGCAACTCCGGGGAGGTCAAGTTCTGAGCTTGCGTTGGTCCGAAGTCCGGCCTAATCCCGGTCAATCCCGCTTAATCCCGCTTCATCCGGCTCAATCCCGCTCAATCCGAGGCCCGCTCCGGCGTAATGGCTCCGAAATGGGGCTTAATCCTCTTTAATCTTTCCGACGAAAACCTCCCAGTAGTTGCCTCCTACCCCTCCCCCCCGGCCCCCGCCCGCCTCCTTTAGATGCTCGGTTCGGCGACCTTCCTGGGGCCCACCGAACGGATCTGCTCGACCCTACTTCGACTCAAGTTCGGCTCAGGTTCGACTCGGGTGCGACTCGGGTTCGACTCGAGATCGGCTCGAATCGACGGACGTTCGACGCGGTTTCGACGCACGAGTGGAGCGAGGCTCCAGAAAGATCCCCAGAATTCAGCGAGCGAAGAACGGTATAACATATTTGTTTTCGCTGTCGGGGGCGCCTGTCCCTGGGCGGCTGGAAAGTTCATACCCCTACGGAACCACCGTAAGAGTATTCCAGCCGCCCTGGGACAGGCGCCCCCGACAGCGAAAAAGTTTATGATACCGTTCTTCGCACGTTAAAGAATGATCAGCCAACCTCCTCTCGTCGTGCGGAAAACAACACTGCGGGTGTTTCTGTCCCCGTTTGCGGCCTCTGGGGGCCCCAGGCCAGGCCCCAGGGCCGTCAAGAGGCGTCTCGGGACGCGAAGCACTCGGGAAGGGTGGCCCAGACTGCGGGGGGAGGGCCTTCCGACCTCCGACCCAGATCTCCGACGGTGTGATGTCTACCCATCCCTGCGTTTTTCCTCGATCTTGGCCTCTGAGACCCGCCGTCGGGCCCTGGGGCCATCAGACACACGGCGGAGGCCCATGCCAAGAGACGCCCTGCTCGCCTCCGGGGTGCCCTGGGTCTCATTGCGTCTCGAGGGTCTTGCGCTGGATGGAAGGCGTGACGCCCCCACGCCAGAGATCGAGGGACGTCCGGGGGTCTCAGGGTTGGGTCCTCGTGGAAGGTGTCTTGTGGACTCGCCTCCGCCCCAGACGCCCGCCGTCGTGCTTTTGTCACGGCGTCGACCCTCAGAGGTCTCCTCCTCCTCCTCCTCCTCCTCCTCCTCCTCCTCCTCCTCCTCCTCCTCCTCCAACACCAGTTTCTCAGCCTGAATCGTCTTTTGACGGTCCTGGGACCCGGCAAGGGCCCCTGGAAGCCGAGAGATAGCGAAAAGCCTCACGCCGGGATTTTTGCACAGCGCGAGGGGGTCTGACTGAGGCTGCAGATGCGGGGGCGACAACTTGGCCCCAGGCGAGCGGCCTGGACCTCTGACGCTGCGCGCTGGAAAAAGCCGGTCGGCGACGCTCATGGGTCGCCGAGCGCGTTCCACTGCTCGCAATCGCAAAGTGCCCACTCGCAAACGTGCAAGAAGACACATGCCTTCCTCATCTAATGTATCGTAAATCCCACGCGGTGGATCCAGGCAAGTTGCGAGTACAGTCGGGGCCCTGAAGAAGGAACCCTTTTCGTTGGGGAGGGGCTCCATGTTCCTTGATTGTTTCGCAGCTTGCCTTAGATTTTCCTCAGGTCTCCGGTGCGAAGTCGACGTTCAACTTGTGGAAAATAGGGGCCTCGTTCCTTATTGAGGGCTCCTTAGGTCAACGCCTCGACTGTAGCTGTAGGTGATCTGCGAGTATAGCGGAACGCGCCCGTCCACTGGGGGGGCCCTTTCGGCCGGGCGGGGCCGCCCCCCCCCGCGCACGGCGCTCGGCCGCTCCCGGGCCTCCGGTGGAGGCTTCCGCTCGCCACGGCTGGACTTCTGTCGGGCCTGTCCCCCCTGAGTTCTCCTCCTCCTTCCTCCTCCTCCTCCTCCTCCTCCTCCTCCTCCTCCTCCTCCTCCTCCTCTTCCTCCTCCTCCTCCTCCTCCTCCTCCTCCTCCTCCTCCTCCTCTGGGTCTCTGCATATCGGAGGTGGATCGACCTCCTGCCCTGACACGTCGATTAGTGAATTGGCCGTGTTCGGTTCGCGAGAGGGCGTCGCGGCCGTCGTTTCTGCGGGTCCAGGTCCGTCGGTTTCGGTCCCAGGCCGTTATCGCTAAGGGGAGGTTTACTAAAGGGAGGTTTGTCCATCGCCGATACAGGCCGATTTTGGACCACAAATATTTAAGATACCCGAAACAAATATGCACAACTTGCCAAATATACTAAAGCAAACTACTCCCCATAATATTCCTTACCATGTTTGAACGCTCCTCCTGTAGAGGGACAATCCCGACTTAAGGCTGGATGAGCCTCGAAAGCGGGTCGGGGCTGACCCCAGGAGTCGAAGGAAAGAAAGCGCTAGAAACGTGAATTGTCGACGTTGCGCGGCTCCGCGCCGGGCCCCCCCCGGCGGCGTCTCCGGCGACGCCCCTGGCGCGCTCCGCGCGCCAGGGGGGGCGGGCCAGCGCGGATCCAAGCATTCCGCGCGGAGCGCCAAAAGTGTACCTTGCGTTTCTTCTCATTCTTCTTCTTATTTTTCTTCTTATTCTTATTATTATGTATATATTCTTCCTCTTTTTTCATTACTATTCGTATTCTTGTTAGTGTTCGTATTAGTCTTATTCTTATTATTAGTAGTTTTATTGTTCTTAGTCTTCTTAGCCTTCCTCTTCTGAGGAGGAGGGGTCTTGATCCCGAGCGGACGTGGGCCGGGCGGGCGAGCTGCTGCTGTCTCCACGGCCCCCCCTCCGACCTCCGTGGGGCCTGCGTCAGAAGGGCCCGCGGAGGGCCTCCCGGCGGGGCGCCCGGAGCGGGGGGGGGGCAGGCTCGTGTTTTGCCGCCGGCACCGGGCCGTGGAGTTCCAGCCCAGAGGCCAGCAACATATGTACACGTACGCGGTTAGCTTCCCCTGGAGTGCGTGTCAACGCGGACGTTCGTGCAGGCAAGACCGCGGAGGGCGTACATGTACATATGTCGTTGCTCGCCCAGCCCAGCCCTGACTCCAGATCCGCCCTACTTTGGCTTTTTTTCCAACTTAACATTGCGTCGGAAGTCCACCTATAAGAAACCGAAGAAGCAGGGCAGGAATTTCTGCACCCGACACAAAATAGGGCGGAAATCCACAGAAGTAGGGCGGAAACAGCAACAGAAAAGTAGGGCGGAAATTGGCATCAGCGGGGCTTGAAAAGTAAGGCGGAAATTCCAAGCCCTACTTACGAATTTCCCCAAAGTAGGGCGGATCCGGAGTCAGGGAGAGCCGCCGAATTGTTTCAGGAGGACAAGAAACACAGACACAATGAATCCTCGATTCCCCAGAAACTATGGGAAAAGATGGGGAGTTTGGGGGAAGACAGAAACCCAGAACATATGGGAAGATATGGGGAATAGTTGTATTTGTGTGTATCTATTAGCTTGGCATCGCTCGGACGTGTGCATTTTTTCTCGGCGACAACCATCGAGAACCATCCTGGACCATCGAGCAAAAAAAACACGCACGAAACCGAAAAATGCACCGGAAATGGACGTCCGAGCGACGGCGAGAGAGCCGCCGAGTTGTTGCGACAAGGTCGGCACATTTGATCTTCAACCCGTTCCACTGCAACCTCGGCTCAAGAGCCTCCTGAAAAGGCCCCAGGGGAGCCCAAGACGCCGCCAAGGAGCCCCAATACGCTCCCAAGAAGCCCCCAAGAGGCACCCAAGACGGCCCCAAATAGCGCTCCAGGGCCGGCGGAATGGGCGAAGCGATTAAATATCTTGCAGCGCGGGGAGCAATCAGCACCGAGGCCACACCCCATCATGGCAGAGTGGTGGGCCGCGCATAACAGCAAAAATCGTCCACGTCTTGAGTCAGTTACTGCACCTCATTCCTTGAAGGAACCCTTTTCGTTGGGGAGGGGTTCGGTGTTCCTCGAGTGCTTCACAGTTTGCCTCGGGTTTTCCCGACGTCTCCCACGGGGAATCGAGTCTTAACTTATGAGACACAGGGACCTCGTTCTCTATTTAGGGTTCCTTTGGTCAACGCCCCGACTGTATGATGTTCCAACCTACTTCAGCCTTGATCACCAGAGAGAATTCCGAGCACCAGGAACAAGCACCGAAGCTCGAGGGCTTTCGCGTGTCGGGCCCTGGGAGACATTCGTCCGACGCTGTTCCGACACTGTTGCGGCACTCTTTCGACACTTTTCGGGGTGCTCGAAATTATTTCTGCGATGTGGTCCTTAAGTGCGATGAGATCGACATAAGACTCGTGTCGTATCGACACGGCGGCGCCCTCGGCGTGGGCGTTCAAGATTGAACGTTGCCAGTGGCCCAGAGTTCCGAGGCCCAAAAACCATCACGTCACCAATTTTGGGCCCCAGGGCCCACTGAGGCCCCAGGGGCCCTAGATTAGTGAAGTGATGTTTTTTTCGACGTAAGAACCCCGAAACTCATCACTTCACTGAACCGGGCCCGGGACGGAAGTCAGGGGCCGAATTGCTGCGGTGATGCAACACAGGTCTCGTAAGAGTCGGCTGGTACTGAAGGATCTGCACGATCGGAAAGCGTCGATCGTTCAAGGTTGAACGAGCCATGCGGTGCCACAGCCACCACACAGGTCGCCACGACACGGACCCGCCGCACGCACCCAGGCACCCAAGTCAGGGCAAGTCTGGCCGGGGAGCCCGCGGAGGCTCCTCGCTCCGCAGGCGGAGGCGGAGGGCGTTGGATAACACGGGAGCAACACGCGCATGCAACATATACCTTGCGAAGGAGGAGGAGGAGGAGGAGGAGGAGGAGGAGAAGGAGGAGGAGAGGGAGGAGGAGGAGGAGGAGGAGAGGGAGGAGGAGGAGGAGGAGGAGGAGGAGGAGGAGGAGGAGGAGGAGGAGGGCATATGGACGCGTTACTATACCATACATCGTGCGGTCCACGTGCATTACTTCGAGAAGCAACTTGTCAACTTTGCGGATCACCATGGAGACATGAAGACATCCAGGCATCAAAATCAAACGTCTTTGTGAACGTGGAGGTCTTGGGAGCCTCTTGGGGGCCTGGGGGCCTCTTGGAGGCCTCTTGGGGCCTCCTCGCCACCTTGGAGCACTCTTGGGGCACCCTTGGGAGCCTTGGTAGCGTTCTTGGGGCCATATCTGAGGAGATCGACCAAAGAAGGGGGGGGGGTCCTAGTTAGCCTCGCCCTCCCAGGAGGCCAAAATGGGTCAAGGTCCAGGGGTCCAGGGGAGGGGGGTGGGGGGAGGGGTAAACCCTTCCCCGAAGGGGAAGAGGGAGGGGTGGAAGAGGAAGCTCCCTAAACCACCTTACGCCCTGAAGGGCTGGTGGGATTGAATGGGACTTTCGCCTGCTATATCCTCAACACTCTGACAGTCTGACGCACCCTATCACGCAGATCGCGATTCTAAGGCTAAAAACATAATGGGTCTCCAACGCGTGGACATACAACCTTCACACACAATCGGTTCCAATGATTTCTGCACATGCTACCGTTCGACCCCCCGTTTTTTCAGATTAAAAAGGGTTCCTTTTGTTCCGTAGTGCTTCGGCATCGTTTCAGCACGCCTTGAAAACCATGATGGAATCCAGTGAGTTTGCACATAACTATAGAGAAGCAGATGTTTGTCGTTGGTTCCCAGTGCAGTCCTCCGATGTTGTTCTGACCTTTGCTTCTTCGTGTGCAAAGGGGTGCTCCCGAACATTACGTCTAATCGCGCAGTGTTGCAACCGCATCGGTCCCCCCCCCACGCAATTTGTTGTAGAAGCCTGGCCACGCACGCGTCACTCGTACATATATGTGTATATATATATATATAAATAGATAGATTGCATCCCAGAGCTGCCGGTCCCGAAGATCGAAGCAAGGCGAGTTGGGACATCGGCAGCGCAAAATCGGTCCCCAGACCCCTCCCGGGGCCCAAACGCTCCAGTTGTCCGCCTTGCGTCCAGCCGTGGCCACGAGGATGCCCCCCAGAGCCAGATACCATGGTCTCATCCCTGAGATCCGATGTTGCGGCAGAGTTGCTCATGTGCGAAAAGTTACGACCAGAGCCCCAGATTCATTTCTCTGCAGCGTTTTTCGAGCTGGCTCGCTCCGTGTATGAGGGTCCCAGCGCGAACCATTCGCGATTCCAGGATGTCGGGGCCCCCATCGAGGGGCAATCACCTTTGTCTCAATTCGCCGTCCTCCGAGAAGAGGACCACGACCCCCTGGTCGAGGAGGTCTCGGTGAAGTGCGCCGCGCACCTGCGGAGCCACGGCGCGATGACGCCCCGCGACATGCAGCGCATCACTTAGTGGTTTATGTAAACGACATGGCGGTTCTTTTTCCCCCGTTTTCGGTCATCAGTCCTCTTTCCCGGTTTTGGCGCCGTTTTTCTGTTCGGTTCCGTCGCCGTGTTTTCCGTGCTCCGGCTTTGGCTTCAACCCTGGATTGATTTTTCAGTCTCGGTTAACCGATGTTTCACCGTTCTCATTCTCAAGATCAAGATTTCTGGAAACGGTGAGGAAGGGGCCCTACCGTTTTCAAGAACCACTAAGGCGCATCATCGCCCACTCGACGGGCAACTCCGCGGCAGCAGCGCTGCTCTCCCCGGCCAGCCCCCTACCCGAGGAGGATTACGAGCAGGCTTCGAATCGGGGGCAACATGAGGGGGGGATAGACTCAGGGGGGACGCATCGACTTCCAATAGATGTTTTGAGGGTTTTTTCGTCAGTCTTCTCTGAGAAAGTTTCCTGCCGCTCAGACAGTGCCCAGACGATGCACCAAACAGGCCCAGGAACGCGCGAGGACCAACCTGGCGGTGGCCGAGGTTGGTCCTCGCGCGGGCCCCCCGCGCGGTTGGCTGGGCGTCCCCGCAAGTCCCGACCCTTTCCCCGGGACCGGTTTTTCGTCCTGAATCGTTTTTTGAAGGTCCTGAGGCCCGGCGAGGGCCCCTCTGGGGCCGAAAATAGCCCAAAACCTCCCGCCATGGTTTTCCTCGACGCGATCCTGCCTGGGTCTGAAGAGGGCGGGAGGCCTGCGCAGGGCCTTCCGAGGGGGCCCGCCCCCCTCCGCCGGCGCTCGCTGTGGGGCCCCCTGGGGCCGAAAACTGCCAGAAACCTCCCGTCCGGATGTCTTTTACGACGCGAGCCTGTCTGGGCACAGAGGCTCGAAGCTCCGCGCGGACTTCTTGGGTCGGCGCCGGGCCCCCCCCCCCCGGCGGCGGCTCCTGGCGCCGCCCCCCCTTGGATTACGTCGGGCGTGTCCCCCCACATGGGGATTTGTTATTTTTTATGTTTGGATTATTTGGGGGGTATTTTTTACGTGGGGGATTTTCAACGAAGAATGCAAAATACCCCAAAGGGATTCCAAAATGCCCCACAAGTATGCAGAAAATAGACCCAGAACTATTTTTGGACTATTTGGGGATTATTTTTGGGGGTATCTTTTATTCGTCGTCGAAAATCCCCCTGTATAGGGGGAGAGGCCCGACTTCACCCCTGGAGGGCTGCCGCGTGCCAGGGGCGCGCCAGTCACGCGGGTGCGCGCCGGGAGGGAGCGCCGGTTGGCGCCACCAGAGGGGCGCAGCGCCGGGCGCCGATCCAAGAGTTGTGATGTTCCAGCCCCTGGGATCTCCTCCTCCTCCTCCTCCTCTTTCTCCTCCTCCTCCTCTTTCTCCTCCTCCTCCTCCTCCTCCTCCTCCTCCTCTTTCTCCTCCTCCTCCTCCTCCTCCTCCTCCTCCTCCTCCTCCTCCTCCAGCGCATCGACAAAAATCAAGACGAAGGTTTTTCGCTATTTTCTGCCTCTGGGGGCCCTTATGCCGGGCCTCGGGGCCGTCAAAAAACGGCTCAGGAGGAAAAGCCGGTCCTGGGGAAGGGGTCGAGACCTCCGGGGACTTTGTATTGAAAAAATCACGGCGTCGGATCTCTGCGACCTATTTTAAGCCTTGATCGCCAGAAAGAATTTCGAGCACCAAAAGAGTACCGAAAATCTCGAGGGTTTGCACGTGTCGGGCCCTGAGAGCTGAGACACTCGTCCGACACTGTTTCGACACTTGTCTGGGCGCTCGAAATTATTTCTGGGATGTGGTCTTTGAGTAGGATGGGAGCAAAATAATCCAAGAAATCCGCGCGGACCGCCGAAAGGATGTTTGTGCAGTCTTTTCATGTCTCAAGGCTGCCAACATGACCGCGTCTTGGTGACGAGCGGACGCACCCCTCCGGCAGGGTCATTCTCAGCCCACCGGGCGAGGCGTCCCGCGTGTGCGGGCGCCGGAGGATTACCAACATGACTGAGATCTGTTCGCGTCGGCTGGCACTTCGCTTTGAGATTTGTCCGGCCGCCAACATGACCGCGTCAATCCTGCCGTGATTTTTCGCCCCCTCCCCCCGCGAGACCCTTGCAAGCTCCTCCGCTCCCGCCTTGGCGGACTATGTTCTCCGCTGGCGGGGTGCGTGCACAGTCCGGCCTCCGGCCGGCAGAGCACGCGGCGCGGCGCAAACGGGGCTCGGCCACAGCGGCGGATCCTGCAGGTTCTCGCAAAGCCGGGAGCCGCTCGCGACCCCGGAGATTGCCTTATACGTATCGGCTGAGCCAGGCTTGGGGACCCCCCCCCCAAAAAAAACAGTAGCGCAGTAGTTTGAATTGGTTGAGCCAGGTTTGCGCCGAGCCGCGTTCATAATACTTATGCTTCGTCCACTGAATTATGCCCCGTTGCCCTGTGAGTGGTTTGCCTTGGGCACGTCGCGAATGATGTGGCAGGTGTGTGTGTGTGTGCATTGACCGCTTGCCCCTCGAGAAGCCTGCTCCCCCTCCCTCCCTCCCTCCCTTCCGCTCTCCTCCTCGATGTCCTCTCCCTCCGCATCGGCAGGGGGCACACACACAAACACTTTCGGAGCGCCACGCGGATCTCTTGGATCGGCGCCGAGCTCCCCGGGCGGCGCCTCTGGCGCCAACCGTGGCGCACTCCGCGCGCCAGACAGGGTGGCCCAGCGCCGACCCAAGAAGTACGTGCGGACCTCCGAAAGTTTCGGCTTCTTCCGATGCCCCTCCTCCACAGGGAGCCCCTCGCCCCCTGCTCGTGCCCTCAGGTTTGGGCTTCTTCCCATGCTCCTCCTCCAAAGGGAGCACCTCGCCCCCTGCTCGTGCCCTGCGCCTGGGGCTCCTCTCTCCGGCGACGCCCCCTCGCGCCCTGCACCCGCGCGAAGCCCCCGCGCCGCCTGCCGCCCTGCTAGCCGCCGCTGTCCGCGCGGCGCGCCGGCTGTGCTCGTCCGCCACGGGGGTCAGAGGTCATTCCCGGCGCTCGTTGATTACCCCCTGAGATCCTGGCGGGGAGGAGGGGGAGGAGGAGGAGGGGGAGGAGGAGGAGGAGGAGGAGGAGGAGGAGGCGGAGGAGGAGGAGGAGGGGAGGAGGATGATGATGATTGATGATGATGATGATGAGATGATGATGATGATGATGATGATAGGATGATGATGATGATGATGATGATGATGATGATGATGATGATGATGATGATGATGATGATGATGATATGATGATGATGATGGGATATGATGATGATGATATGGATGAGATGATGATGATGATGATGAGATGATGATGAGGATGATGATGATGAGCGGAGGAGGAGGAGGAGGAGGAGGAGGAGGAGGAGGAGGAGGAGGAGGAGGAGGAGGAGGAGGATGAGGAGGGAGGAGGAGGAGGAGGAGGAGGAGGGAATGGGAGGAGGAGGAGGAGGAGGCGGAGGAGGAGGCCTCAGTTTTGTCACACCGGGCGTTCCCGCCAAGCGTCGGGCCTGGGGACCCTTCGGGCCGGACGAAAGGGGGGGGATTGGGAAAGGGGGGGTTACGAAATCTGCTGCGTGCAGCTGGTTCGAAGCGAGCGAGTCTGAGGCTGGCGATCGGGCCGAGCCTGTCGGGTCTGCTCAGGCCCGCAGACCGCTTCGGGGGGAGGGTGAGCACGCTCCAGATCAGCAACCCCTTTCAGACAGCTCGGACTGACCGCATCAGGCGGGTAAACTAGTCCGAGTCTTTTCTTAACTCAACCCGAGCTGGCTCGGGTTCAGGGCGCTTGTAAAAAAAAAAAACCATTCCTCGATACATAGCCGCCTGAGGCGCCGGGAAAATCAGCTACGTGAGCTGATTCTCAACCCCCCCCTTTGCTATCCCCCTCTCTCGCCCGACCCGAGCCATCACGGGTGGGCCTGGATCGAGGAGTTCGGGCGTGGACGGGAACCCCGCCCTGACGCGTCGATCAGAGAATCGTCCTTTTTCGGTTCTCGGGAGGGCGCCGCGGCCGTCGTTTTCCAGGGGTTTGCGCCCGCCAGGTCTGGGCCCGAGGTCGTCTTCACGAAACCACGTTTTACTAAAGGGGGTTTTCTGTCCACCCCCGAAAAGCCCAGACATCCGACGTCTCGAGTTTTTCGAGACGCGGGCTCCCGACCTCCCGACCACTTCCCTGGGACCGGTTAATTCTTCATCCCGAGTCGTTTTTTGACGGTCCCGAGGCCCGGCGAGGGCCCCGAGAGGCCAAAAATTATGAAGACCCTCCGACTCGATGTCTTCGAGACGCCCGTTGTCTGGGAGTGCCGCAGAGGCACCGGGCTTTTGGCTTGGGCCCCCAGTCCTGAGGCTGCGCGGTGTCGCCGTTCTCTCGCGACGTTGGACCACAGGGAAGGATAGGGAGCCACATGCGAACCCTACCCCTACCCCCTGCGATTTCTGAGGGGGGGGGTGGGGTTCACTTCGCTCGGGAGCTCCCGAGCGAAGTGAACCCCCTCCTCCTCCCCCTCCTCCTCCTCCTCCCTCCTCCTCCTCCTCCTCCTCCTCCTCCTCCTCCTCCCCTCCCCTCCTCCCCTCCTCCTCCCCCCCCCTCCCCCTCCCCTCCCCCTCCCCCTCCTCCTCCTCCTCCTCCTCCTCCTCCTCCTCCTCCCCTCCTCTTCCTCCCCTCCTCCTCCTCCTCGTCCTCCTCCACCTCCTCTCCCTCCCTCCTCCTCCTCCTCCTCCTCCTCCGCCGCCTCCTCCTCCTCCTCCTCCTCCTCCTCCTCCTCCTCCTCCTCTCCCCTCCTCCCCCCTCCTCCTCATCCCCTCCCCCTCCCCCCTCCCCCCCCTCCCCCCTCCTCCTCCTCCTCCTCCTCCTCCTCCTCCTCCTCCTCCTCCTCCTCCTTCCTCCTTCCTCCTCGTCCTCCTCCACCTCCTCTCACCTCCTCCTCCTCCTCCTCCTCCTCCTCCTCCTCCTCCTCCTCCTCCTCCCGAGCGAAGTGAACCCCACCCTCCCCCTCAGAAATCGTGGGGGGCAGGGGTAGGGTTCGCATGTACGGGGCGCGTCGAGGCCAGGAGAGCGCGTCTGGCCCCCAGCGCCGATCCGAGAAATCCGCGCGGACCTCCGAGTTTTTATGCTTATGTCACCTTTTGTTCCCCTAAGTACACATGGATTCCTATTGAGAGCCTGTGCAAAATGGTGAAATCTCAACTGCCGTTCCGATGGATTTTCGAGGCTTGAGTCTGCAGAAGGTGCATCACGAGGCGGAGTGATCTTCGAGGTACAAAGAAGCCCAGATGGATTTCACCCTGAGCCCTCCACCCTGAGAAAATGCCTGGGTTAAGTCGGGCGTGTCCCTCCACAGGGGGAATATCCAAAAACAGCCAACAAGTAGTGCGGGGACGATTTTGTGAGCATTCTCTCTTGATAGATTTGAGTATCTTGGAGTATCTGCTGGGTCCTTGGCTTGCAGCAAGCAGTCGCCCTAACATCCTCCTGGATGGAGGGCACGCCCGACCCGAGTTCGGCGTCCCCGGGGATGGCACGGTGGCTGCAGCTTCCCGTCCCGGGGTTGGGGGGCGAATCGCGCAGTCCTCTCTCAGGAGGGGAACAAAAACGCACAGACACAATCTTGACCGTCTGCTCCCAGGAGGATCTGGGAAGACCTGGGAAGCGGGCGGGAAGGCAAACGCCCAGAACAAACGAGAAAGCATGGGGCATCCTGTGATCTGTGTGTATATCTATCTGTGTGTCCCAGGGCCCCCTTCACTCCTGGCGACGCGCAGAGCGGGGTTGGCCCGGGGGCGGCGCCAAGGACGGTCGGGGGATCCTGGAGGGCGGGGGCCGTCCCCCTCCGGAGGGGCCCAGAGGTTTTTCGCAGAAGAGGCCCCTCGGCTTCTCGGAAGCCCTCCCCCCCCGCCCTCTACGGAGGCCCCCCCCCCTCTGCCGCCTCTCTGGGCGCGCCGCCGGGGTGGTGGCGGCCACGTTCTGTACGGGTGCCTGCGCCACAAGTCCTGCCACGGCGCCAACGCAGCCCTCCGTGTGACGACGCTTCGAGCACCAACGGCTGCAACACGTGGCACCTCTCGGCCCTGTTCTCCTTGCTCGGGCCGTCTTGGGACTGCCTTGGGCTGTTGTGGGGCCCTCTTGGGACCTTCTTACGTCATCTTGGTGATGTCTTGGTTCTGTTTGTGCCCCTCTCGGCCGCCTGGGGAGTCTCTCGGGGATGTTTTGGGGGCCTCTTGGAACCCACCTGGGCCGTCTTGGCGCCCTCTGGGGTCCTATAGGTCTACCGTGGGGCCCACTTGGGTCCAGAGAGGGGGGCGCCAGTTGTTGTATATCAAGGGTGGACACTGGCAGGGCCTCAGGTGCGAGCAGAGCTTCAGGTGCGCTATTGCCTCGCTCCTCCCCCCTCCTTCCCGCCTTCTCCTTCCCACTCCTGCCCTCCTGCCTCGCCTTCCGCCCTCCAGCTCCTGCTCCCGCTCGCCCTCGTGTCCCGACCTCTCTTTTCCCCAACCCCCACCTGCTCCCCTGCCCTCTCCCTCCTCCCTCCATCTCCTCCTCCTGCTCTCGCTCCTCCCCGTGCCCACTTCGCGGAGCCCTCACCCAAGGAGGAGGAGGAGGAGGAGGAGGTGGAGGAGGAGGAGGGGGAGGAGGAGGGGGAGGAGGAGGGGGAGGAGGAGGGGGAGGAGGAGGGGGAGGAGGAGGTGGCAAGTAGGAGGAGGAGGAGGAGGAGGAGGACAAGCTAGGTGCGCTCGCGTCATTCCTGACATCCTACCCCTCCCTCTCATCCCTTACCATGGTGCAGATCCCCTCTCTACTCGCACAGTCGGATGTCGAGCAGGGCAATGATCCCGAAAGGGTACGCGATGCGTTGTAGAGCACGGCATGACATGGTGTAGAAGAGCACCGCAAAGCGTAGTATCAACCGAGCATTGCATTGCATGCCGTGGCATGGCACGGGAAATGACGCCAGCGCTGCAGCGGGAGCGCGAGTCGAAACGAGCGGAAGCGCGGAAATGAGGCCAGCGCTGCAGCGGGAGCACGATTCGGAACGAGCGGAAGCACGGAAATGAGGCCGGCGCTGCAGCGGGAGCACGATTCGGAACGAGCGGGGACCGAAAATGAGGCCGCCGCCTCAGCGAGAGCAGCATTTTCAAAACATGCAGGCGAAAACCCAATTCCAGGGAAACTTGTGTAAAAACAGTACAAGGGGGGGTCGGACACTCCCAGGCCGTCATCAGGGGAAGAGGGAGACTAGCATTCATATTGAGTAACTGTGGAGGAGGAGGAGG